AAAAAAAAGAACTAACATAATCAAAATACACTTCAGCTAAATACTTCTAATTTATTTTCCCAAACCACACGGAGCCACATTATAAGGACTAAAGAGCCACAGGTTGCAGACCCCTGCACTAGACCTACCTACCATCGGGAAAAACCAAAACGAAGTACTTACTAAGGAAATCACAGTAGAAGAACTGAATAAGGCAATCAGTAGACGGAAAGCCAACAAAACCCCAGGCAGTGACGGGTTCCCCGCAGGATGGTATAAGGTATTTCGGGAGAAGCTCAACCCTATCCTGCTAAGAACTCTGAATTGGATAACAAAGAACGGCCAGATACCCCCGTCGTGGAATGATGCTATCCTGTCTTTGATCCCCAAGGAAGGAAAGGATAGAACTGTGCAAATTACAGACCAATATCGATCCTAAATGTAGACTACAAATTACACATACTTCACAAAATTGATAGAAATAAATGGGATGCAGCTCTTATTAGTCCGGACGCCGAAAAGGCTTTCGACAGGGTTGGGTGGGAATTCTTGTATCAGACCGTAGATATAAACGGGATCTTTATAGGACAAAGGGACATAAAATAGGATTATTTGCAGACGATGTAATATTGTATCTGAGGGACTTGAGCACCTCCCTTCCTAAGCTTCTGGAAGTAATAGCAGAGTTTCATGAGTGCTCGGGATATAAACGAAACATCGCAAAAACACAAAATGATTCACTTCAGTTATGTACCGAGCAAAGAAATTAAAGAAGGCTTCAATATCAATTGGAAAACTGAAAAAATCTAATATTTGGGTGTCTTCATAACAAGAAGCCCAGTTTCATTGAACACTTCAAATTATCTTCCGATCACAGACGATATTAGAAAGACTTGGAGAGGTGGTCAACATACCCGTTGGACTTTAGCAGCAGAATAAATGTGATAAAAATGAATATAATGCCAAGGCTGCTGCACATTTTCCAGGCACTGCCGGTTGAAATCCCAGCTCAACAGTTCGAAGCCTGGGATAAAATGTTGTCAAGCATCCAAATTATGCTCTAATTTGATGAAGAACCAAAGATTCACCTCTTTATATGTAAAGACAAAATGGGAACAGGAACTAAAACCATCAATTACAGATGAAACTTGGTGCCCGTTATGTGGTTCACTTCAAACGTCTACAAATTACAGTGGCGGGAATTTAATTGGAAATGCCTTATTAGGTTTTTATCCCTCCTCACATTAGCAGTAAGCAGGTGGGCACACAGCAGCCTTGTTGGAGAAACTGGTGAACTGGCAGCTAAAAACTCCCATATCTTCTGGTTTTGCTCTAACATTAACCCATTCTGGACAACAGTGAATGATACCTTACAAACAGTCTTTGGTTACGAGGTCCCTGAGGACTGTACGGCTTTATTTTGAGGAAATATTGATGATAGAGTTAAAAGAGAGGACTTATATTTAACTAAGATTCTTCTTACGGCAGCAGGAAAAGCCTTTACCAGGCCGTGGCTTAAGCCTGACGCCCCAACTTTCCTCCACTGGACAAACGTAATTCAAAAAGTGCACATTATACACACTACGACTGAAACGACAGCTCTTCACTCAGAACTGGAAGAAGTGGTCATTGTTTATCATTTCTGACACAGGAAGTGACTTCACTCTCTGAGGACTGTCTCTTATCTGGAAAGCATAACAACAACGACATGAGGATTTTTATTGATGTAACTTCTATTGTTACTATTATTATGGTATGTGTGCTTTATCTTTAGACCTGCATATTCATTCATTCATTTATTTATTTATTTATTTATTTCACACTTGGTACAACAATTCAAACAAACCAACCACACTTTCTATCAAAAGCACTACAACCATGTGTGAAAAGGAGCAGGAAGAAGAAAATATTCGTATTAAACCCCGCCCCCTATCTACAATCCAATTTATATTACAAGTGGGCACCAAAAATCAGG